ACCAAACGTTTAAGAGGAATTAATACCAATTCTACACAATCTCTTCCAGAAAAATGCAGAAGAAGGGAGCACATCCTAACTCATTCTATCTGATCTATTTCAGATCAGTCTATCCAATTTCAAGACTTATTATATAGTTTCAGCAAGCAAGGCCTAGTGGTATTGGCAGAACCGTGGACGCATGTTATCAGTGGAATAAGACAGAGAACTTAGACCAACACAAATACGCCCAAATGGTTTTTGACAAACATGCAAAAGCAGTTCAAGAAAGGAAGGATGGCCTTTTCAACAATGGTGCCAGAGCAATTGGATATCCACAGACCAAAAAAAAAAAAAAAAAAAAATCTTGCCTTAAACGTCACACCTTGCACAAAAATTAACTCAAAATACATCATGGAGTTCACAAAACTATAAAACTTTTAGAAAAAAAATAGGAGAAAATCTTCAGTTGCACTCGTGGGCATTTACGCAGAGAAATGAAATCCTGTATTCATGCAAAAATCTGAAGGTACCCGAATGTTGATGACAGTTTTATTCAGAATAGCCCCAAACTGGAAACAACCGAGATGTCTTTCAACAGCTAAATGGTTAAACTAACTGTGGGACATCCGCACCGTGGAATACTACTCAGCCATAAAAAGGAACGAACTGCTCATACACCCAACAGCCAGGATGACTCTCCAGAAAATCATGATGAGGGAAAAGATCCGCTCCCGTAAGGTTACTTACTGTGTGATTCCGTTCTTGAAATGACAACATTTTAAAAGTGGAGAACAGATTAGTGGTTACCAGGGGTTTTGGGGAGCTTGGGGGCAGGAGGAAAGTGGGTGTGTCTTCAGAAGGGCAATATATGGGGTCCTGGTGTATAGAAAATATTCTGTCTCTTGACTGTATCAATGTCAATATCTCGATACTCTGGTTATGACACATCGTACACTTTGGCAAGACGGCACCATTGGGAGGAAGGAGATGAACAGTACGTGGGATCCAAAAAAGAGAGAGGACACATGGAATCTCTCTGTCTTTTTTCTTACAACTGTGTGTGAATCGACAATGCTCTCAAAATAAAAAGCTAATCAAAAAGAAACCTAAATCGGATCATTTCTCATCTCTACTTAAAACTCTCAATGGCTTCCCAGTACACTGGCATAAAATCCATACTTAAAATCCATACACTGGCATAAAACCTATACTTAAAATTTTTTAAAAAAATTTTAATTTAAAAAAATAAAAACAAAAAGTCCAAACTTAAGGCCCTGGAGATCCGTCTCTGCCCTATACTCCCCTCCTCACCTGCTCTGCTTCTGGACACTGACTTACTCTCTGTGCCTTCATCAAGGGCCTTCCTGCCTCAGGGCCTTTGCACCAACTATCCTCACCCAGTCATCACATGGAGGCTCTTTCTCCTCACTCTGCTCAGCATCAACATCATCCTTTCAGGGTCTCTCTCATGCCTGCTCTAAAGTAGTCCCAATTCATGCCCGGTCACATCACCCCTATCTTAATTTCCTACACTCATTATGAGGCGATATTTTTTCTCATTTTCGTATGTAGGTGAATACAAACCCCATGAGGAAGAAGACTTGGTCTAACTTTCCGTCATATTCCCCTCTGGCACATAGTAGGGCCTTCAGTGAATATTTGCAGAAAGGGTTGAGTCAAAGAATAAATGTAAGCAAAGAGGTCTGTGTGGGGCTCCTGGGGGAGAGGGTGGGGGCCCATGCCAGCCCCCGAGTGCATTCTGAATAGGGCCTCAAAGTTTTCACAACCACGCTCTCCCTTCCCCTACCTGCACACTTTGGTCACAAAACTGTCATCAGGATGTAATGAGATAATGTGCTGACTTCAGAGCCTTCTGCCAAGAGAGGACCCACGAAGGATTATGGCCATGCGGATCCCCAAATCTAACCACACGGAAATGCAGAAACCCCTTCTCCCCAGACCCGGCACGGAGGAAGATGCCAGTGCAGGTGCCCCCGCCCTCGGGCAGGAAACTCACCCCTGCACTCTCTCGCCAGCCACTCTTCATTCACCTGACATCTGTGTCTCTTCTCAGAGCCGTACCAAGGCACTGGGGTTTATCCCGGCCAGACACTGGCCTAGACACGCCTTAGCACCAGTACCCAGCAACAGCCATGCTAGCCACTCTTACAAACAGCCACCCTCACCAGCCCCCATGGGGTTTGGGGGTGTGCCCACCGCACACAGTCCCCCAGATTCAGGGATGAGGCTAAGGCAGACCCAGAAGCCCTCAGGGCTATTTAGCCAGGTACCCAGAGAATGGTCCAGAAGAGGGGCTTAGGCTCACAGACTCCTTGCCCCACGAGGAGGAGTATGGCTGAAGGAAGGGCCAGGACAAGGGGTTCCTCTTGCCTGGGTAGAAGGCCATATGTCCCAGGAACTCTGCTCTGTGGACCAGGGGGTGGGGGCAGGCAGGGTCTTGGTCCTGCTCGGTCCTGCTGCATCTCCCACAGCTCCACAGGCAGCAAAGGCAAAAAGATACCGAAACCTGGAAGCTTCTGTGTAAATGCGGAGGTTGAAATGTGGCAAGACACGCTGGGCAGCCAGGACTATAAGCAACACAAGGCACAAGGCAGCTATGGGAGCCCAGCTGGGGTTTGCCACCCTAACCTCTGTGTGGAAAAATGCAAGCTCAGAGCGTGCCCAGGCCTACACCCCCACCAGGGGCTGCCTCGGAGGTGGGGGTGGGTGGGCGGGGGAGCAATATGCCCAGGATCTGCTTCATATCTCAGCATGGCCCAGCCTCAGCCTCCATTCCCAGAGCACTTCTTACATGCCCGCCTCACATCATCCTCCAACAGCCTCCCAGGGAAGCTTTCTACCACCCCCACTTTAGAGTCAGGGACACCCAGGGTCATAGGACAAATTCGGACCAGTGAGACATCAGGGGAGTCTGCAGGGGGACTCTGGAAAAGACAGTGCCCTTTGACAGGAGAACACGATGCCACATCCCCTTTCTCATTTATTTGGGACACTGTTGTTGATGCCCGGAGCTGCTGCCGCCCTTCTGTGACCCTGAGGAACAATATGGCAGACACAGGAGCTGGCAGAGGGTGAAATCAAAGGTGCCCAAGATCTTGAAAATATCTTTGGCTCAGGGAAGCCCACAGGTCAGGGGTCCCCACCGCATCTCCAGCGCCACCCTCAGGGCACCTTGCTCCCACACAGCAGTGATGATCTGTGACCAAGTGCCTGTTTCTGTCGTGGTTTGACTAATGCCCCTGCCACCACCACTGGGTCATCAGCTCCCTGAGTCGGGGCCTGGTCTGGGTTCTCACGGAGGACAGGAGGGCTCCCCAGAGCGCGGATACAGGAGGAGGTCAACACATATTCATTTGGGGGAGGGAAGGGAGCTGGGCCATGAAACCTCAGGCACATCCCTATGGGGCCTGTTTGACGGGCCAGAGTCTGAACCCGACCTCATCCCTGTGACGATTCTTTTGACCTTGGGCAAGTCACTTTGCTCTGAGCGTCAGACTCCCGATGGCAAGTGTGCGGATTAGTTTATAAGGCAAGGGCTCTCTGCCAGAATGAAGTGCAGTATTCACAGTTCACCCTGTGCGTGAATTCAAAGTGCTCTGACCTCTTGGATCTCATTTCATCCTCCTGATACTGAGCCATCAGTTCAATAGTATCTCTTGAGCTCCTGAACGCGAGGCATAGGGGGAGGAGGGGTACAGGAGAGATCAAAGCAATTCCTGCCCTCCTGTGGCCCCCTGGAAAGTGACAGCCTGTCGGGGAGGAAAGGCACTGAATTAGGTCAGGAGATGCAGCTATTCCCGGCATGAAACCAGGCCAGGCAGAAGGACCAGCAAACGTGAAGGCCCCGAGGAGGGACGGAGTCTCCAGGCCAGCAAGGTCCGTGTGGCCACAGCCCCAGGACCAGGGCGGCTCGCGGAGGGCCTTGGGGTCGGGAGGGAAACAGGGTCCGTGTCCGGACTTTGATCGGCTGTGGAGAGGGGTAGAGACCGCCCTGTAAGAGAGATGGAAGCTCCTGGAAGATCTGGAGCAGTGCCGTGATCTGATAGAGGACGTGGAGGGGCCGGGGGAGGTGGGAAGACCCGAGAGCAGCTATTACAAACAGAGTGCCTCGTCTATGCAAAGCCAGCAAAACCAGGACCCGGGACAAGAGGGCACATGGTGCCCCACGTCGCCAGGGAGCTGGGGCCAGTGCCGAAACCTACTGTCCTTCCTCTCCCTGCCCAGCCATAGGCAGAGGGGATGCACCCCAACCCTAACTCGGATAGGAGTTACCGGAGAGAGAGGAAAGTACATTAAACCCTCATTCCTTAACAGATAATAGCCACTTAAGTGGCAATGATAATTGAGACCAGAGATATGGAATTCCTCTCAAGAATGAGCATTAAGTCTGACTCAACAAAGGGATGGCTCAGGACAAATTCCTATCTGCTGTGACGGAACATTCTGTTCTGAGCTCCTCATGCCAAGGAGAGGGAGAGAACTCTCGGGAGGCCTGTAAACACCCACACGGAGGACAAGACCCTGCAGTGGGTCTTGATGTGATGTGATGGGTCTGATGTGAACACTGTTCACATCATTGCTTCAGTCCCAAAGCAAAGGGCAGTTGTGAAAAGTAAGGATCATCATGCGAATGCTGAGGAGCTGCCCGAGGGCGGGGCGGGGCGTAAAAGGGGCGGGGCCGTGGTGGGCGGGGCCGAGAGGGGCCTCACCTGGCTCTCCCCCATCCCTCAGTCCCCTCACCCCACTTCCTGTCTATGGTGCTCTTCTGCTCATCAAATCCTACAGGATTGTGAAGTTCTTTCAGGGTGTGTAGCATGTCCCTTTCATCTTGCCCACACATAATCCCCACGCTCTGTACACAAAAGGTGCCCCATAAACGCACACTCAGCTCTTGTTTCCGAGCGTCAAACCCCCCTCCCCAGCAGCTTGTGCTGGGGTTGGATTCACCCAAGGGAACAGAAAGGAAGGGCAGAGCTGGCCCGCCCCACAGCCTTTACCTCACGAGGTTGGCACAGGGCCCCGGCCACCGGCAGCTCTGGTACACACGCTGGACCACTGTCTCCGAGCCGTTCTGCACCTGGCAGGACACCGTCCGCGTCACCGTGTGATGGCACCAGTGCCTGTGGGGAAAGCAATAGTCATGTCAGCCCTTCTATTCCTGAGGTGCTGACTGCAGGGCAAAAGGTCATGCTGGCCAAGGAGCGGTCCCTCCATAAGGCCGCGGGGTGGGGGTGCTCGTTCTCCCGGGTAAGGGGTTCACTGGGACCCTCAGTCCAGGACTAAGGGGAAAGGGAAGTACCCACCACAACCTTGGCCACCAAGCCCTGGCATCCATCATTTCAGTCTTCAAACACTCGGAATGAACCCCTGCCCACCGGGAAATCCCACTCTGGTGAGGAAGACTATGAGGGAAGTGATTACAACCCACAGGAACACGGGGCCATAGGTACAACCAAAAGATGCACACGGGGAACTGTGGGAACAGAGGAGGGCACCCAACCCAGGTCCCGAGAAAGACCAACCACCTGGGTACTGAAAGGTAAGAGTCAGCCCACAGCAAGTGCAATCACATGCGGCCCAAAGGCGGGAGGGAAGGGAGGAGCCAGGAGGAAGGAAGCGACGTGGGACCTGCCAGGCTAGATGTGGGTTTTATCATGAAGTCAGTGGGGAGCCCCTGAAGGACTCTGACCAGGGGAATGCCTCAATGGGTCTGAGTTTAGAAAAATTTCTCTGGTGCAGTGAGAGGTGCAGAAGCCTGAGCTGGGACGTGGCCGGGGGGGCGGGGGGGATATACGCAAACAATATTGTGATTGGATCCAACAGCAGCCCATGCTCCCACCTGCCCCTCCCATTCCCCCCTCCCCAGATCCTAGAAATCTAAAATCTAAAAATAAATCCCAGTTGCAACATCAGCAAGATGGTGGGACAAGAGGTCCCCCACTCGTATCTCTCCTCAGTAACGATAATTTGCCAGCCAGCCATGGACAAAAATGCCCTTGCGGGAGCTTTGGGATTTTTGCAAACCGTGCATCTTATAAGGGGTTAATATCTGAAACGTACAAGGAACTCATGAAACTCAATAGCCAAAAACCAAATAATCTGATTTTAAAATGGCCAAAGGACCTGAATAGACATTTGTCTAAAGAAGACATACAGATGGCCAAAAGTATATGAGAAGGTGCTCAACATCACTCGCCACCAGGAAAATGCAAATCAAAATGAGAGATCCCCTCACACTTGTTAGGATGGCTATTATATCGAAAGAACATGAGACAACAAGTGTTGGCGAAGGTGTGGAGAAAAAGGAACTCCAGTACATTGGTGGTGGTAATGGACATTGGTACAGCCATTATGGTAGGTTCCTGAAGAAATTAAAAATGGAACTACCGTATGATCCAGGAATCTCACTTCTGGGTATATATCCAAAGGAATTAATATCAGTATCTAGAAGAGATATCTGCATGCCCATGCTCACTGCAAAGTTATTCACAATAGCCAAGATGGAAACAACCAAAGTGTCCATCCATGAATGAATGGACAAAGAAAACATAGAAAATACACACACACACACACACATATACACATGATGGGATATTATCCAGCCATAAAAAAGATGGAAATTCTACCATTTGCAATAATGTGGATGAACCTGGAAGACAATACCCTAAGTAAATAAGCCACAGAGAGACAAATACCATATGATCTTATTTGCATGTGGAATCCAAAAGCATCCAACTCATAGAACCAGAGAGTAGAACAGGGATTGCCAGGGGCTGGGGAGTGTGAGAGATAGGGAGATGCTGGTCAAAGAATACAAATGTCCAGTTATAAGATGAATAAGTTGGGGCGCCTGGGTGGCTCAGTCGGTTAAGCGACTGCCTTCGGCTCAGGTCGTGATCCTGGAGTCCCGGGATCGAGTCCCGCATCGGGCTCCCTGCTCGGCGGGGAGTCTGCTTCTCCCTCTGACCCTCTTCCCTCTCATGTGCTCTCTCTCTCTTTCTCATTCTCGCTCTCTCAAATAAATAAATAAATAAAATCTTTAAAAAAAATAAGATGAATAAGTTCTGGGGATCTAACATACAGATTAGATTTATATGTATGTACATTATTATATTATCTGTGTATTATATATATAATCACGTGGTGATTATAGTTAATAATTCCATATTGCATACTTGCAATTTGCTAAGAGAGATCTTAAGTGTTCTCACCACAAAACAAACAAACAAACGGTGGTAACTATGTGAGGTGATGAATGTGTTAATAATCTGTAGTAACCATTTCACAATGCATATGTATATTAAGTCATCACGTTGTATACCTTTGGGGGAAAAAAGCGTATTGTACAACCTAAATATACACTTTTTAATTTTGTCACTCATAACTCAATAAAGCAGAAAATGTAAATTAAAAAAATTAAAAATCAGTCCCTAACAGCACTGGAAAACAAAGAAGCCGTGGTCGAGAAATTTTGAGGAACACCTGAGAGACTGAAAGTAGGTGGAACTAAGTTAAAAGAGGAAAGTCCAACTGGAAACAGGGAAGACTCCAGATTGGCGGCAAATGTGGGCACAACTCGGGAAAACAGCTAATGTGGCTAATGGAATAGGGGAGGGACGCAGAGGTGACTGTCAGAGGACCATGGTACAAGGAGTCAGCCAGGTAGGACCCGGATCCCTTACCCCTGCTGGTGTCAAGAATCAGGCATTAGATTCACCTGCCTTGAGGCAGGTGTGGTTGGAGAGGGTGCTCCAAAATCTGATGACCCCCAGGAGAAACGGAGACCCTCTCAAGTTTATACAACTGAATTCCTTTTTTAAAAAGATGTATTTATTTGAGAGAGAGAGAGAGAGAGAGCTAGAGCAGGAGGAGGGAGAGAGGGAGAGGGACAGAGAGGCAGAGAAGCAGACTCCCCACTGAGCGTGGAGCCCAACATGGGGCTTGATCCCAGGACTCTGAGATCATGACCTGAGCCGAAACCAAGAGTCGGAGGCTCAAGCAACTGAGCCACCCAGGTGCCCCTATACAACTGAATTCTTGTACACTCCTTCCCTACCCCTTACCCATACTACCAACCCTCCAAGAGGCAAAGCAGCAATAAATAGTAAAGCAGAGACGAGCCAGTGGAAATCCCCAAATACCAAGAATTTCAAAGTATTCAAGAAAAAAAAAGGCCAACACCATGAAAGAAAAGCACCAACTCAACAGACAATAAATCACACCTCAGGAAAAGATAATAAAGCAAACCAATGAAGACAATTTTTTAAAACATAATTAATGTCCTCAAAGAGATAAGAGAATTGTGCCCTTGTAAAAAATATTAGGAAATGGAAAAAATGAGATCTCTTGGAAATGAAACATACGACTGTAAAAACCAAAAGCACAACAGATGGGCTGAAAAATCAGAATAGACACAGCTAGAGAGTTAGCGGATGAGCCGGAAATCCAAGCCATGAACTTTCCAAGGATGCACTGCAGGGGGAAGAGGAGGTGGGAAGTGTGTGTGGTGGGGGGGAAGTGAGAGACCCAGGGGACAGACCACGTGCCGACATATGTCTATTAGTAGCTCTGGAATGGGGGATTGGAGAGAGCCAAGGGAAGTACGTACTTGAAGAAAGAATAAAGAGAGTTGGAGAAAGACATGATTTCTTAATCCAAAAGAGCCCACTGAGTGTTAAACCAGATGAACACAAACAGACATATCGTGCTGAAATGTCAGAACCCTCGGGATGGAGACAAAAATCCCAAATGCTGTAGAAAGGAAAGTAACGCAGATTACCCACAATAAACTGAAATTAGAGTTCTCATCAGCAGCACCAGATTCATCAAGAAACACAATGGTTTCGAATTTCGGAGGGGAAATATCGAGCACCCAGAATTCCACACCCAGGCAAGCTCTCCTTCAAAGGCAAAGGCAAGATAAAGACATTTTCCAGATGCACAGGAACTCGGAAAGCTTACCAGTCACCTTTTCTGAAAGAATCACTGCAGGATGTACTCCAGCAAAATAAATGAAGGATGCAGAAGAAATATATTAAATATGAGAAGCAGTTATGAGCAAAGAAAGAGTAATACGATTTAATAACAGCCTAGCTCTAAAATCCAAAGTGATCTCAGTAAGGAAGAGAGCTGTAAGAGGGACAGAAGGAACCAAAAGTTGCTGGGGGTTGAGTCTTGTTTAAGGAAAGGACATGAGTGCTTTGCAACTTCAGCTATAGCAGAAAAATACACAATTAAAATATACCTTTCAGTTTGAAGATAAATACTAACAAACCACGAAAGAAAAAAAAACAAAGAAAATTTGATTAATCCAACAAAATGCTAGAAAAGCAAGAAGGTAGCAAGAGAAAACACAGTAATTAGAAAACCTTGGAAAGAGAAAGAAGAAAAGAATCCACAAAGATTCGAGCAGAAATGAATGAAGTAGATTTACCTTAAGTGAATCAACAAAACATGTTTAAAAAAAACCAAATAGACAAAGCTTATAGCAATTCCTAATGAGAAACAAAGACACAAGAGAAAAATTCCAGAGACTTAAAATTATACGTAAATTTTATGTGTGATCTTGCATCAAAATTTTTCAAAATCTGGACAATTTTCTAGGCAAATCTCTACTACCAACATTTGCACTGTCAAAAAGAGCATAGAAGTCATCGAAAATCCATCCCTCTCCCCAAAGATACCAGGAGACCTAGTTCAAAACCTGGGTCTGCCACCAACCTGCTCTGTGACTTGAGCAAAGTGATGTCCCCTCTCTGAGCCTCAGTGAAATAAAAAATCTTACCCCTTAAGTTTATTGCGAGGGCTACGTGAGCAGATTCAGGTTAGTGGTGTATAAATCATGTGGCACTCACTACTAAAGTATCCCTGATTGGCTGGCTACCAGACCCCCCACAGTGTCCATAAAAGCCTAGGGACTGATCTTACACATTTTGGAGCTTGGAGGAGTAGTGGGCAGTTAAACCTCACTGCCCATAGCTCAGACTTGAGGCCGAGTGGGGAAGGGAATCTAGCCTTCCAGCCCAGAGGACCAGCAGGGTCCCACCTCCCCAGTACACACCTCCACTCTTGCCTCTGCCAGATCAGTCCGGAAATTGTGCAAGATGGTGGCATCTAAGCC